ACTGCTCCGTCTAGAATTAGCTGAATCCTCAAACTCCTCCAATACCCCCTTTGGAGACAACCAGTTTTGCTTTCAAAAAGTCCCTGATCGATAATCGATCCCCCAGAAAACTCGCCAAAAATCGAACGATAGGCATTAAGCCCTTAAACACGGCTTAGACTTCCTTTCAATCCGAATGGTTTCCTGCGCGCTGAATTTCTTTCTTTCGTTCGCTTGGGCGACGAAAAACGTAAAAAAAAAGTCGTCCATCAGACTGTTGCGAGTAAAAGGACGCCGCCGTTACGAACAATGCACATAAAATGACGTCCGAAAAAAAGCTCACAACGGGACCCCGACAATGATATGATATTGCTGGGAAGCGCGCGTTTTTCTACTGGTCCCTACGATCATTTTCTCACAACACCAGGTGAAACTACCGCGACCAGGTGCAAAAGGTAATCGTGGGAACGCAAAACACTCTCACCTCCTTGAACTGATGCTGTAAGTGCTCCATAAGCGGATTGAAGTGATCGGGTGGCTCGGATTTCACTTGGGCACCACCACCCGATGTGGTGGTGGTCATCGACGTGATCGACGTCGGTTGTGGTGGAGGTTGTTGCTGTTGCTGTTGGGGCTGGGACGTTTGCACTGAGTGAGCTGCACCTAATGATTGCTGCATGATGAAGTGAAGTAGTTGTTGTTGCTGGGCCAACGGATCCACTGAAATCAAGCGAGAAATTATGCATGAGGCAAAATTGCCCACATGGAAATGCCCACATGTTGATTTACGGGTAGCCCGAAATGGGCAAAAAAGACCCAAAATCCACTAACTCATTTGGCTGCCGAGAAAGTTCATACTCTCCGCGAAACCGGACGACGATGTCGAGACGGGTGTCGACGGTGCAGCCGATACAGCCGGTGCTTCGCAAACCTGCAGGAGGGAATGTTTCGATGGTGCAAAAACTCTCGCAAAAATTCGGAAAAAAAATCTTGAGAAAAGAGGTTCCAACTGACCGATGATGAGTTCACAACGCTCATATGGGCGTCGTCTGATACCCGGTGTACGGTGTCCTTGTTTGGTTTTCGTTTGCGGCTACCTTGTGTGATGTTTGGTGACGCACGACTGTTAGCCGGTGATGGAACATCCTGAACAATAGCTCAAATAAGGGTAACCACAAAAAGGTCCACAGAATGAAATATTCAAATCTGAGGATATCCCGAGGTTGAGAATGGAACAAAGGGAACATTCAGTTCGCCCATTTTCGGCTACCCATACCCACATTGCTTTGTCACTCCTTGGCATCCCTCGACACCCGAACTATCCTGCTAGGGAGCTGAGGCCAGCCATATGGAGCTAACCAGGATCACAGAAAAAGTCCTGCTCTGAGGATAACTTCGTCTTAAAATTCACGATGAGCCACAGCGCGACCGTATGACCAGCCGCGCTTCAGTAACTCTGTACGTACTTCAATGTACATGGTCAGTTAACAATAGCGAGCACAGCTGTCCATTCAATTCAAATGAACGCGGAAATTCACAAAATAACTTCAACCCATTCATGAGCGAATGCCATTTGCGAGAGCTGGACGAGATCACCTCGACCGCCACTACATTCTCGTGGTTAGCACTGGAAGACACAGCTGTCTTCCACAACCTGGACTTGGTTAGCTGCCTGCATGGGAGTCACAGGTGACTCCCCGGTATAAAAGGTAAATTGGCAGACTGCCTACTTTCCAGCCCTACAGAACCAATACCATATTCTACTCATGATACTCACCTTGAAGCTTTATTGAGAAGTGTTCAGAACTTCACATTTATTTTTCCCTCTCCTCCTTTGAGCGCTATCTCAACACCGCGGGCATCCGCTAGGAAGAAACCTAGCAAGGAGGCAGAAACTCCGTTGAAAATGAAAACTGCTCAAGCACCTGGAGCTCTCCCTGCCCGCCAAAGACTTTGTCCTGTTTTCAACAAAAAGGAGATGTTTTCGCGGCTTAAAATGCGTCGCCACTACAATGCCTCCGTATCTTGCGATAGCTTTCTTTTCCTACCCCCCCCTCCCGATACGCTACAACCTGGGGAGATCGAACTTAGGTTCATGGGCCGCGTATACGACGCGCCAATCTTTCGGGGTGAATTTCGTCCCTATTCAAAGCTCTGGTAAATTGATAGCAACTTATTTCACCTTATCATCGCTACCGCTTTCACTCATCTCCTGATCTTGAACGATCAGCCGATCCTTCTCCTTTTCGTTCATTAGACTTTCTAATCGCATATAAATCAAATCGAATTTGTCCATCATTTGCTGCATGTTCTGAAATGAATCTCATTAACATTCAAGTATAAAATATTTAAAAAAAAAGCAAAAAAAAAATTTGGACCTGATCAAATATAATATGAATCTGCAATACATCACACGCTTTAACGGTGATGAAATGATTACGCGGGCGATTGAGTGGATATGGTACTTATAAAATGCCTTTTAGGATATTGTCAATATTGACATCAGTGCTTTGACCCTCAGTTTAACCCTGTGGCTGTGAGCCAACCAGAATCAACCCTTTCGAATACTGCAAGAGGAAAATCAGCCCAGCTGTCGTATGACTGCGAAATACCCACTGATCACTACGCAACCCGCAAAAAATACTCGAGCGCTAACGGACATATAGGGGGGGCAACCTGAGATATACAGGGGGGGGCCAAAAAAAAAGACATTTTGCCTATGTCGGACTTCGGCTCTTTTTTCTTCGCAGAGATTGCTGTCGTTGACGGGAGTTCCTCAGCAGAGTATTCCCTAAGTGTCCCTCTATAGTGTACGCAGGCCTCCTTCACTGCCCTCACCGTCTTCAGAATATGACGTCATCTGTCACCGTCGTCAGGCTCAAGGAGGTCTACCGTAAGAGCTTCAGCCTGAAGCTCTTACGCAATTTCGTGAATCGATTTAATGTTGGATAGTTTTCTAGAGGCATTAGCTACCACTGTGCAAATCCCCTCGAAACTAGCTTTCCAGTAAGGGTCGTTATGGTACACGATCCTTCGAAGACCCCATTGAGCTCGACCAGTGCACCATGTTTCCAGGGCAATTCTTCTGATGCCGTCCACGTACGTGGCCACTATGAAGATTTTCTTATAGAATGGAATGCACTCTTTAATAATAAGTTGGAACCGTTCGGTCTGAGTTGAGTAAAATGTGCTTAAATCCATCTGGAAGTGGAGGCAAAATGTCTTTTTTTTGGCCCCCCCTGTATGCCTAGAGGGCGCATACTTCGAGGAGAATGAAAATGGCTTCACCAAACCTGGAGTCTCGCCTGGTCCCCTGCCTTAGGCTGAGCACCACTGTTAACAAAGGAGGTGTTTTACGCGGTTTTATGCGTTTCCATCGCAATACCCCCGTATCTTGCGATAGCGCCAAAAATTTCAATTAGCCAATTTTACCTGTTTAATGTCCGCATGTAGCTTGATACAACCTGAACACGGTGGCGGGGGTGACGGAGCGACACCGTTCGGTAGTGACGTCGGTGACGGCATTGATGGACACTGTTGCGGTGGTGGTGCGACCAGTGTCATCTGAAAGGTGACCATGTTTCGATAAGTTAAACATTATCCAAAAAGGCAATAAATTAATCCATCGAAGGCCAAATATAGCCAAAATGGCCACTCACGTTGAACGAACCAGAAAGAGTCACAATTTCAATGAAAATGTTCCGCCTATGATCAAAATGCTGAGATAAGATCAACGATAAGTGATAGAGATATCATCATTATCACCGGGATGATAAGAGACTAATTGGAGCGAGTAGCAGTCTATCATGAAGTCTTCATCAGTACAAATGAAAACGTACATAAATAAGAGAATAAGAATTAGAGTCACCGTTTCCTGCGTCTCTAACGCATACCGTCAACGTGCCATGTTTGCTCGATGCGGTACGGTTTCCCGCAAATCATCGAAGAACACGGCACTCACAACATCGTCCCAGCCTACCTGGGATCAGGTTTGAGCAAGAAAAATAAAAAAAAAATACTAGTAAGTCAGGGTAAATTTTTTGCTGGTAGGAACTGGTAAATAAAAAATACGGCAAAATCAAAAGGCTAAGGACTGCTCAGTACGGATCGGGAAGGAAGAGAATGAAATATGTATAAAGGGGTGCACGAAAGAATCAGTTAGTGGTTCTTGATTTTTGCAAACACATTGTTCGGCTATTGGGTTTCTGGAACAACGAAAAAGTGAGTAACGGGTTACCGAAACAACGAGGTACGAAATACAATTAGGAGCAAGTGAAAAATTTACAAGAAAATTGGTACTTTTCGATTTCTTTGACTTCTCCCCCCATCTCCGCTTCTTACAACTGCGATACCCATAATATTCAAGACTGAATTGAAAAAGAAATATTTGTAATACAGCCTTCAGAAATTTAATCAAAAACCTCAACGCATCGCCAACAATCGAACGGACTCGCCTACCGCTACCAGTCAGTAAAAGGACACCTATGGGGAGTAAATCGGTACCCTGAGTCTCATTATTTTTTCAACTGCTCAGTTTATATCACAACAATTCACTGCGATACTATAAGAACGCGTCAAAATAATATTATAAACAGCTACATTTTGTAAGGTAAATGTTAATTTTTAATCAAATCGCTGATCTTCTTATAGTTTACTCCCTACCCACTAGACCATTAGATCGACAGAAATAACCTAAAAACCTAAGAAGTAACCATTATCAAAGCCATAAGGCCACTCAAAAATGCAAAAAACCCCTAAGCAAGTTAATAAGTGATTCTTCTCGCCTTCAATCCCTTAGTCGGCGATGAACTCCCCAGGCCTTCTTAATCTCTGCAATCCTGCTGTTATCACAGATAACATTCAAGAGATAAACAAAAAGATGAAAAACAGTACAAAATATCTTCCCTCGTCCAAAATTATCAGCAATTTTGAAGTGGTAATGAGAAATTGAGAAAAAAAGAAATGACGTCATAACCCAGCTGGGCTATCAAGGGTTGTTGGAAAACTACTGCTCTGCTTCGGAAAAGCCTAGAGATTTAGCGACAGCCGCCACCACCACCATCACGATCACCAACGTCGTCGTCGCCATGGTCGTCATCGTCGTCGTCGTCGTCACAGGCGGGTGGTGGAGACGGGGACGGGGGGACAGCGCGCGCGTTGACTCCTATCACTATCATGGATCTGAGTGTCCCGTTTAGATGAAATCGCACACCGAACAGTTGATACGCATCTTATCAACACCAAATCGCTACGATCGCTACGATGAAAACACTTACACACCAACTCCCCCACCAGCTACGCACATACTTGCACAGCCCTCATGCTCGTTCTCGTTCTCTCGCTCGACATTCCTTACATGGTTACCAGTATGAGTGCCGAGCTGATATCAGGGACATCACCACAAAATAGCTCTACCCTTGGCTGGCAACCAAGGCCAATCACTGCGCTGGGCTATTTTTGGGACTTTAGGACGCCTCACGCGTACCTACCTGAGGTAGCTCTCTGGGTAACATACCCTTAACCTATAATCTGCCTCGGGAAAAATCCGTCGCGCAGGTGGAATCAGCTTGCAAGATTCTATGTTTCTATTTCCCATAAAAGTTCCCTTCACATCACTTTAAAAAACATATACTAATAGAAAATCCGACCCTTCCAAAAGTCCCAAATACGACCCCTACCCCCCGTTTGCCCATTGGGTGACCCGCCCTGCTGATAACCTTTCAATCAATACCAATCAAAGGTTGCTATTCTTTGGACGGCACAAAGGGATCCTTTTGGAAGGGCCACCACCTGGGACCTGGCGTCATTTATTCACAAGGGTCACAGTCTGAAGAGCCGTGCTCCCTTTGTGATACACTGATTGAGTAATCAATCAATACCACAGTATGAACATCTTTCACAGCTCCTTGGGACAAGGTCAAGTATCCGCAAAGAAACTGACTGACCAGCCCTGCACATTGGTGATAACCCTGGTCAGGTTATCACCACTTATCACTAATAATCTATCAAATGACTACATCCTGAGAGAAAAATACAAACACAATAAAAACTAGAAGATAAAATTAACATCATTCAGTCCATAAATAGGGAAAAAAAAAGAAGTACCAGAAATTACTTCACCGTCACAGATAAGCGATAACGCTGATTACCAGCGATCGATAGTCAATCAACTACCCCTGTACGGTAGGCACAAAAAGTGACCAACCGGACGAAGGGGTTTTTACCCTCAAATGACGCACTGAGTGGGATTGAATGCCCATTTACGTGAGGGATGATAAAAGTAATAAGTGTCTCAATGGGATTTTCAGTAATATTGCTGATCAAAGCGTATGTCACTGACGGGCTTAATAGTCGAAACGTAACTTAAAAATTGAAAAAAACTGCAATAAACAAGTTGAAACTAGCCTTGTTCATAGCGAGGAGAACGTCACGTAGTACTAGGCCGATCATTCGAGTTTCCAATCGAAATGGCACACGAGGTCGTAAAAGCAAAACTATCACTCTGATAATCATCGTCAACTCATCGTATGGCCTTCGATTAATCGACTTTTCTAGCACTTAAAACTGGTCTCCAGCGGAAAATTTCGAATATTTGATCAGATAACGTAACATGATCTGGTAAGAGAGTCGATCAATACTCCATTAATCAAATTTTTAACTTTAAAAATCAGGAAAAGGCAAGGGTGTAGCATCCAAAAGGCTGACCCTTCTGCACCTCGAGGCAATCGCGTTCGATCTCTAGCCGGGGCAAAAACTGGGCGCACTTGCAAGAATTGGCTAAAAAAAAAATGGCGCCAGTTCTGACGCGAGGCCTAAGTTGGCCAGAACAGCTGATGAAAACTCTGGTCACAAAACATGTTTAGAAGTCCAAAATGTATCAGAATTACCCCAAAGTTCAGGATTATTTGATTATTCGATGATATTTTATCATTATCAGTCGAAAAGAATATGGTAAAGGCTGTATGTACCATTTTAGACCCTCCAAACCATTGAATATTCCATATATTTAGAGTTATTACTTAGAATATAGCAGCTCAAAGGAGTCATTATTCTATCAATATAATCTTCAACATTTTTTTTCAAAAATCCAAAAATCCCCGAATATTCACGCCAAAATCTCAAATCCATAGGAAGATTTTGAAAGCTTTCCGATGCTCGAGTACCGAGCACTATGTTTGATGGACTTATCAATAGAACATGACAGCAGTGAAGTAACATCTCCTGTTTACTTTGAGGTCCGTCAAATACTCAAAAGTTCTAGTTGCCTCGAATAAAATCAAAGGAACATGAAATCCTGACAAAAATTCAAAAATTCGGTACATTCGGTAGTCGATGATCGCATTATCACAAAAACAAGAAATCTTGTGGAATGTCGAAAATCCCAGAGCCTTTCACGCCTTTCAAGAGATTAGTTATCATCGAATATTCAAGATTATCACCAAAGATCTAACCGAAGAAATGATAAAGCTGATAAGTAACCGATATAAAGCGATAGTAACCGATGATAAGAAGCCAAAAATTGGAATCAAAAGGAAATTTTTGAGAAATAGCAAAAACAGAGGAGCTAGCCGTACAGTAGGAAGAAGATCAGCCCAAAAAGGCCCACAACGACCCAGAAGCAATCAGACAACGGCCCTGGTTGGTGATTGATGAGTGATAGAGTGCTGATAGAAGGCGATAGGAGATAATGACTCAGTTGAGCCAGTGGCAAGACCGCGAACACTCCTTCCCAGCATGGGTTAGCGATAATTACGCGAAGGAGGTCGCGAAAACACCACCGCCAACATGGCGAGTACACCGAGTAAAGGAGGTGGTTGCTGAGGTTTGTCAACTAGATGAGAGGGCGGGGGTACGGAACGGGGGAGAGAAAGAGATAAGCTGGAGCTCGTCAACCAGCGCCCAGGCCGGGTGGTTCCAAAATCGCGGCCGCCGTCGGCTATTCTAAGGAGCTGGCCGACAACAATTCGCTCCCCGGACAATGGTTGCTAAGCGGCCACAGGGGCAGCTTCAACGACGTCAACGACGACGACGACGACGACAATTACTGATGGACCACCTTTGAGCCCCGCGGTGCTGTGACGCGGGGTCGAGAGCATTGTATGGCAAATTACCGCCGAACGTCAAAATCACGCACACACGATAATCCATTAGCGGAATGACGTGACCATTGAATCTAAGCGGATTTAGGAATGGATAATGGTCATCGCCGGGGTACAGGTGAGGTCTGGAGCATCGCGCAGGCTCAGCCCAGCACCCCGCCGTCATCACTAGGCACAACCTCAATTACGAGGGTTGATAGCGAGTTGAACGCACCGATAACTCTCTCTCACTCCCTCTCTCACATGACGCATACTAGCCTGCGAGAGGCAGTAGCGAGTTATCGATTCCACCATTCTGCCCTATTTGACAACTCTCACACTACCTCGGCTGAATGATTACGTTACGAATTCGTTACCATTCCGTGACTTCAATTCTTATCAAGGTTACGGTATCCCGTTTTGTGCTGGCAGTATATCCCGCTGATCTCAAACGCTTCAGATAGCGCGGGTTCAGTCCAGGTGATCGTGAAATGAATCGAG